AATAAGAAATGGATTGATTAGTATTCAATTGTTTATAAGCCATACATTTTAACTAACTATTTATATAATTTTGTACTTTGGTGTCACCATGTCTCACCCTGTATATTCCTTATAATACATCTGTCTTTCGAAAACATGTTAAAATGGTTAAGGCAATGGCAAATTTTAATGATATTGTTTTCCAAAATCAATTTGTTTTAACATCTCTAAGAATCCACTGTAAGATTAAGATTATGTTTATATTTGTATAAACACTTTTTAGTATTTCTTATGAAACTCCTTTAACCAATAATTAACTTCACCAACATTAGTATATATGAGTCTCCAAGAATATATTTAATAGTATTCTTTGGTTAATATAAATATCTTCATTCAGCTAAATTGTTAGAATATTATGGCAAGCTGAATAATTTTAAATCTTATATTATTTATTATTAAAAACCATGGTCTTAACTGTGACAAATATTCATAAATTGTTTTCTAAAACTGTAATTTTAATATTTATTTCAACATGGAGAGATCGTGCTACTAAATAACTAAATTTAGAGTTTCTTTTTAAAGAGTTTTTACTGAATTTTTGATTCTGTTTTTCGTCATAAGTATAAAAACAGAACAAGTTAATGATTTAGTCACAATAACATTTTTATTTCGTTGATCGTAATTAAATTGTTACAAGGGTCGTTACCATGGTGAGTTCATTCGTTTTGTTCGATGACACTAATAAAATTGTAACTCTCGTTGTTATCTCTTATATTGCACGGCTTACCTAATATATAATTCTGATATATACGCAAGTACATATATGCTTATCGACTAAGGACAAAAATGATGAGAAATATAAAATAGATAGTATGGGTATTACTTCCAGATAATGGAAATGCATATTTTACTTGGAATGTCATCTAATTTTTTTACCCAAGCGATAAAGTTTCTTATCATTATTATCGTCCGTTTTAGGTAGGGAGGTACACGCGCAACTGTTTTGAATTAATTTAATTTAAATACGAATCTGATAATAGGATTGATGATTATTGATTATAAGTTCATCTACAGCTAAGGCAAAACGAGTACCGAACATAGAGGTAAATGACACATTTTTTCTTCTTGACGCGCTGGCGAAAATGCTTAAACTGGTTGACGTTGTTCTTCGATAATGTCTATCTGAAAATGTCTTCTGCTTCTCTGAAAACGACACAGGCATGCAGGTCCTCGAAATTTCGACTTCAGAATCGATTCAAATCAGTTTAGATTTGCAAAATTTTCGTCATATTCGATCATACCTGTTTCAGTTTTACACGTAATCGGTATATTTTTATAGGTAATGATGAGCAAAATTGCTCTTAGTCTTGGTTTTATATCAGCACGACCAAGACCTTACAAACGAGATCAAGACTAAAATCAAGACTGAATGAACAAGACCAAGACTAAAACCAAGAATGAATATGCAAGACCAATACCAAATATGCAAGGCTAAACGAAAAATTATTACTTCAAGTGGATTTATAAGACTAAGTCAGTCTTGGTCTTGTTTTGGTCATCGCTATTTATAGGTTTGTTGTAGTCCTGAGTGGAAACTCGAATCCATCATGTTAGAAATGACAACCTGAACGAAGTGACCATATACCAGTAGGCCTCAGATAAGATAAATTTGATTAGGCTAAAGAACTAGACTTGGTCAAGATGGGATTACCCTATCAGGCTGTGATTAGTTTACATCATTTTATCTTGGAGAAGCTATCTGAAGCGGCCCCAATCGAAATTTACTTCTTGGCCCCTACCAAAAGAACTCCACGTTCATCATCATCATAAAGTCGTCAGTCCTAAGACTGGTCGGACACGCACCTCCACTCTTTCCTATACTGAGCTAATTTTTCGCATTTCTCTAAAACTAGAACAACCCACATCCTCAACTATTTGCGAACATTAATCTCATCTAAAAAGTCTACCTCTACCCCTTTTAACTTCAGTTTCTACCTCTAATATTTCTCTGACTAAACCTTCATGCCTGAGAAGGTGTCCTACTAACCCATCTCGCCTATTTCCTATTGACTTCCATTGAGTCCTCTGTTCTCCTATTCTTCCTAATACCTCTCCATTTCTAACCTTCTCTATCCACGGTATCCTNATTGATCAACTCCCTTTAAAGAAAGCATGCTTTGATGATGAATATTATAATACATTTTCTATTGGCAAACGGACCTAATTATTTATTTATATGGTGGCAACCAAAAAACACAATTATATTATGAAGAATGCAATATAAATTACAATTACGAATCCCCGGAGGTGAACATACTAATCGAGACCCTTGCCTCTACAATGTATTATTATAATTTTTAAATTTGTGTTAGTTTTAAATATATTGGAACTTTTTCTAACCTAAAATAATTGACAGCTGCTATTTATCTATAGCTATAACCTAACCTAACCGAAAATAATTGACAGCTGCCATTTACCGTCCTAAAAACATTTGGCTGGAAAATTGATCAACTCCCTTTAAAGAAAGCATGCTTTGATGATGAATATTATAATACATTTTCTATTGGCAAACGGACCTAATTATTTATTTATATGGTGGCAACCAAAAAACACAATTATATTATGAAGAATGCAATATAAATTACAATTACGAATCCCCGGAGGTGAACATACTAATCGAGACCCTTGCCTCTACAATGTATTATAATTATTTTTAAATTTGTGTTAGTTTTAAATATGTTGGAACTTTTTCTAACTTAAAATAATTGACAGCTGCTAATTATCGTCCTAAAAACATTTGACTGGAAAATTAATTCAAAGAAAGCATGCTTGGGTGACGAATATTATAATAAATTTTCTATTGGCAAACGAACATAATTACTTATTTATATGGTGGCAACCCAAAAACAGACAATTATATTATGAAGAACAGAATATAAATTACAATTTATTGCAGCTTACTGAAAGCGAGGACATGCGTTGAATAGGGATAAACAATTAAACGAAATAATTGTATTATCCATACGAAGAAACTTCTACTGTTCCTTTTTTGTTTATTTTTTGTTTCTGAAAGTGACATTTTTATTAGATTTTATGGTTAATAACGAGCACATTTTTTGTGAACTTTTTGCCAAACGCCAAATACAGGAGATGGCTGATAGGTTGGTGTTACATATCGGCCTTTCGTATATTATCGCGTTCTCTCTCTTCTGTAATTACGTTTCATAATAAAAACTTTCGGCCTACGAAAGGTGGTATATGCGTGGCAAACCACACGAGTCCTGTCGATGTGGCCATATTGTCCACTGATTCTATTTTTTCTTTGGTGAGTCAACAACTACAGGAAACTACTAAACTAAGGGCAGTGTTTTCGTCCCTAAGCTACGCATGCGGGGGTTCTGTGTTGTTTTGGTCCAAATACTATTTAAATAAATAAATAAATAAATTTATACGTATCTTAAAGAATAAGTTTTGCTCGTTATTGTTTCATGCTTACATACATACGTAATATTCAGATTGTCTGTCCTATTAGCCTATTGTCAGTTTTTTTTGTTACAGAATTGCTATTTTTATTTTAGGTGGTTTTTTAACCTTTGACCTTTGTATTAAAATTTAATAGGTGACTTAATTTTTTTTGCTTTTATGTTCAATGAATAACTAAAGATACATCCAGAAATGTGTATCATATAGTTACGTGTTGTATTTTCTCGAAGTTAATTATAAAAAGGAAAATTTTTTGAGGCTTACGGGAAGGATATTTTTATAAATAAATTGAAAATATAAAAATTCCTAGAAGATAGAAAGTTTTACAAATATTATATGATAAACAAAATGAGGTTTATGATATATATAGTTTTCGTGAAATAAAAGTAATAATTGTTCAAAGATGTATTGTATGCCAAAGTAACATTGTGCTGTGATCAAAGCTGTTTATCGTTTAGTACGATGCATCCGGGTATAACAGCCAAATGTAACTAAACATATCTCATCCTGGTTCTTCATTAATTAAAAGATTACTTAGTCAAACTTACCCTGTACATTCTAACATTAAGGTTTTGAATTTCAATTTTCAAGTTAATAATTACTAAATATGAATTTGCATTTATTGCTAAAAAATGACATAGGTAATACATTTTAATGACCTTTGGCTAATGTTTTTCCATGCCTGTTTCGGCATTTTATTTTGTTTACGATAATATATAATGCACATGCTTTTTGTAACATTTGTTTTTCATCGAAAAGAAATATTCATAAACACAAAAGAGAGGAAAAGCGCCTGCTGCTTTTCTTTCACGTGCTGTTTTATTACATATTTAAGTAGAGATAGTTAGTAACGAACAATGGCAGCTACATTTATCAATTTATCATATTAATGTCGAATGCTCATGTCTGCCATTATTATTCAAGGTTGCTTAACCAAAAACAATGTGACATACTCGTAATTGTATCACTACAGGTCCTGTTCGTATTAATTTTTTATTTAAATTTTGAATTTTTTAATTTTTAACTTTTTTGCCATTGCGGTTGCCAAGTGCGTCGAGTACTAAAAATAACGCATTCATTTATTTATTTTTTTGTGATGATTGTTTAACACAGTGTCTTCTACGTACGACCCCAATTACAAAATCGCACTCGTAATAATACATAAACAAATAGAATTGTAATTGTAAATGATATGGCAAATAAATTTTACGTAAGAGTATATTATACATTTGTATAAAAACACGACGTACATTTAAAATACGGAATGTCCGTGACGTAGAAATATGTATACAGGGCGAAACAGAAATATGCCGGTATCGATTGCTTGCGGCATTCGTCTACAACTGCAATAAATCGTTTTAACTGCATTTCTTGAAATATTTGTAAGTACTAAGTGCTTTAGTGTCCATCTTTAGAATAATTTCTTTTCGAGTTCAACATGGGACAAAAAACGTTAAATTATATATTTGTTGCCTGACAATATGGGCGATTTTCGCTGGCTTTGGTTTTGTACGAGCGCTTTTTGTTTCCCCGTTTAGGTGCTATGGCTTACGATATGCACAGCCCTGGTTGGGTACATTCCCGAGGGCAGATTCAAGCAGTGGGTAAATTATCACGTGTCGATAATGTGTTTTGGCCTTTTATCTGGCGCGTTATCGTCAGTAATCACCTACCACAATACTGAAAATAAGCCGAAAAACGGAATATGTGTTGCGAATCATACGTCACCTATTGATGTACTTATTTTAATGTGCGATGGCTGTTATTCGCTGGTAAGATTTGGTTTTTATGTTGTGCCCTAGCTTTGCTTGGCTTGAGGGTGGGATTTCTTTTTTGTAGGTTATCGTAATTTTGTGATTATAATTATTTGGCACATTCTGAATCAGGGTGATATTTAGAAAAGTTGTGTGGATGCTGTAGTCTTTAGTCACAAAAAAATATTTCAGAAGATAGAGCTAAAAAATGGTTCATTTTAAAAGGAATTAGAGTTGCATAAAAATTGTGTTTATTAATCTTAAATTAGATGGCGAACAGTTAAAAAGAAAGAAATTAGAAATTGTCTATTTCTCATTGAGTATTACTTGTCGTTAATATCATCATCATCATAAGGTCGTCAATCCTAAGGTTGGTTGGACACGTACCTCCACTCTTTCCTATCCTGAGATAAACTTCGCATTTCCCTAAAACTAGAACAACCCACATCCTTAACTATTTGCGAACAGTAATCTAATCNTTATTTCAACATGGAGAGATCGTGCTACTAAATAACTAAATTTAGAGTTTCTTTTTAAAGAGTTTTTACTGAATTTTTGATTCTGTTTTTCGTCATAAGTATAAAAACAGAACAAGTTAATGATTTAGTCACAATAACATTTTTATTTCGTTGATCGTAATTAAATTGTTACAAGGGTCGTTACCATGGTGAGTTCATTCGTTTTGTTCGATGACACTAATAAAATTGTAACTCTCGTTGTTATCTCTTATATTGCACGGCTTACCTAATATATAATTCTGATATATACGCAAGTACATATATGCTTATCGACTAAGGACAAAAATGATGAGAAATATAAAATAGATAGTATGGGTATTACTTCCAGATAATGGAAATGCATATTTTACTTGGAATGTCATCTAATTTTTTTACCCAAGCGATAAAGTTTCTTATCATTATTATCGTCCGTTTTAGGTAGGGAGGTACACGCGCAACTGTTTTGAATTAATTTAATTTAAATACGAATCTGATAATAGGATTGATGATTATTGATTATAAGTTCATCTACAGCTAAGGCAAAACGAGTACCGAACATAGAGGTAAATGACACATTTTTTCTTCTTGACGCGCTGGCGAAAATGCTTAAACTGGTTGACGTTGTTCTTCGATAATGTCTATCTGAAAATGTCTTCTGCTTCTCTGAAAACGACACAGGCATGCAGGTCCTCGAAATTTCGACTTCAGAATCGATTCAAATCAGTTTAGATTTGCAAAATTTTCGTCATATTCGATCATACCTGTTTCAGTTTTACACGTAATCGGTATATTTTTATAGGTAATGATGAGCAAAATTGCTCTTAGTCTTGGTTTTATATCAGCACGACCAAGACCTTACAAACGAGATCAAGACTAAAATCAAGACTGAATGAACAAGACCAAGACTAAAACCAAGAATGAATATGCAAGACCAATACCAAATATGCAAGGCTAAACGAAAAATTATTACTTCAAGTGGATTTATAAGACTAAGTCAGTCTTGGTCTTGTTTTGGTCATCGCTATTTATAGGTTTGTTGTAGTCCTGAGTGGAAACTCGAATCCATCATGTTAGAAATGACAACCTGAACGAAGTGACCATATACCAGTAGGCCTCAGATAAGATAAATTTGATTAGGCTAAAGAACTAGACTTGGTCAAGATGGGATTACCCTATCAGGCTGTGATTAGTTTACATCATTTTATCTTGGAGAAGCTATCTGAAGCGGCCCCAATCGAAATTTACTTCTTGGCCCCTACCAAAAGAACTCCACGTTCATCATCATCATAAAGTCGTCAGTCCTAAGACTGGTCGGACACGCACCTCCACTCTTTCCTATACTGAGCTAATTTTTCGCATTTCTCTAAAACTAGAACAACCCACATCCTCAACTATTTGCGAACATTAATCTCATCTAAAAAGTCTACCTCTACCCCTTTTAACTTCAGTTTCTACCTCTAATATTTCTCTGACTAAACCTTCATGCCTGAGAAGGTGTCCTACTAACCCATCTCGCCTATTTCCTATTGACTTCCATTGAGTCCTCTGTTCTCCTATTCTTCCTAATACCTCTCCATTTCTAACCTTCTCTATCCACGGTATCCTCATCATTCGCTTGTAACACTCGAACGCTTCTAACCTTTTCATTTCAACCGCTCCCACTATCCATGTTTCGCATCCACAACATCCACCTTTAACAATCTTTTTCAAATATCTTAATTAATCGTTCGCGAGCATAGAAGTGATTTCTTTTTATTGACTAGACTCTGCGCTATCATCTGCTTTACATCTCTACTACTCCTTCCATCCTGACTTTTATCTGACTTCCTAGATACCTAACGTTTATAATTTATCGTTACTAAGAGTGTTGAGATAAAATATTTCCTGAGACAATTAAAATATTCTACGGTTTCCTTAATGCATTTCTATTTGAGTATATCTCCCCGTCGGGCATGATTGATGCGTATGAGTTGATGAAGTAATCCTCCAATCGTGTACTCATGCTGATGCCATTTGACTGAAATGTTGTTTTCTGTTTGTTGCAGTACGGAAGAAAAAATATCGAAGCTGAAACTACAAAACATCAAAATGAAGATGAAGATGACGATGACTATGATGAAGTTGAAGAACCACAGTTAAATGATAAAAATAAATTAAATTCGGAACCTCGAAAAAGAGATCGGACACCCAATGGGTTGAAGAAATCCGAAAACGGCTATTTATTGAACGGAAATACTTTGATAGATAGAGACGAAAAACTCATATTTGTACCTGAACCTCCTAGTCAAAAAAATAACGATAAAGATGTGCAGAAAAGTGAAGAAAATAACGTACAATCCAAAGAGGTATTTTTAATGATGGGTTTCCTAGATAAAGTAGTCGAAATTCTAATCAGTACAATCTATTTGTTTTTCGAAATTTCATTTTTTTGGTATTTTTAAAATAAAAATTCAGTTTATTGATCCACAAGACTGAAATTTGAAATCAATAATTTCAGGCAGAGTTCAAATGCCTTTTATACCCTTTAAGCTTTTGGAACTTAGTCTTTTGAAATTTGAACCATATAATGAGACCGTACATACATTACATCACGCTGTTTTCACCACTGTTTTAACCCCCCTCCCCCATAGTTGCGCTTCGTCATGCAGTTCTTACATCCTCCCTATTGGACACGTCACGCTGTCATTTGTACATTGTATTTGTTGTGCTCGATTCTATGCAAACGTCCCGTTACCCTGAGGCATCTTCCCTACATTGACACATTTCGTCATGCTATGCCATATTTCGTCATGCTACCTCAAAATTCCCTCCCCCCTCACGGCGTGACGTAATATATGAACTGCCCCTGTGCATTTGTCTCTCAGTAATATTTTTGCAAATTGTAAAATTCCACCAAACAAGCGCCCTGAAGTCTATTCTTTCAACAAGTTTACGGTTTTGGTACAATACTACAACGGTCCTTTTTTATAATTATATTTAAGATACCTAAGTTTGATATGGCATCATCTTTGGATCTTATAAAAGCTGGTATCGAAGCTATTATAGAAGATCAAGTAACCTCACGATTCGAGGCCGAAGAATTGAAAAATTGGAACCTACTAACGCGGACAAACACTAGGTACACGTTTATTTCGTGGAAGCTGACTGTTATATGGATCTGCGGCTTCTTCATAAGACACTGTGTGCTGTTCCCTTTAAGGGTGATGGTGTGCTTCATTGGGGTAAGTCAGAATGTTATTTGTTTTAATGTCGTACGTATGAAGGTCTTACAGATGACGAAATGCAGAATGACATTTTTATTCCATACTTATTCATACCTTTTTGAACACGGAAATGGATTTTGTAAAATGTTTAAATTAAGGCTGCCCATGAATTACGTAACGTAGGTTGGGGGGGGGTATTGTCGGACGTTACGGTCCGTTTACGTGGGGGAAGAGGGGTTAATTGCATCACGTAACGGAAATTTGATGATATGGAACTATAAGGTTGTTCCGGAAGTCATTTCGTTTTTTCCCGACAGAGGATTTAATTGTATTCTTTTGTACCCAACTTCACATTTAAGCCGTATAATTTTTATATGCTTTGAGAGCTCATATAGCAAGGCTTGTGTGTGAAAAATTCCAATTAATTCTACGCAGTAGTTTTTGGTTGGTGCCCTTTTAAATATGGAGAGCGATAAGCAGCATTTTCGA